TTTTTTGTATTTTTAGTAGAGACGGGGTTTCACCATGTTGACCAGGTTGGTCTCGATCTCTTGACCTCGTGATCCACCCGCCTCGGCCTCCCAAAGTGCTGGGATTACAAGATCTCCATTTTTAAATTTCATTATTTGAGTGTTGAAAATCTCACATTGGACTTAAACCTGCATGAAAGTGCCAATTTCTCCTCAATCAGGTCTCCACAGTTTAAATTTTGTTATTTAGAGTGGTATTATAAATTTTACATTGGCCTCATTCATGTGAAAGTCCATGTTAAAATTATACAAGTAGCTTTCAAGTTTACCCACTGTTTTTAATTCTCTACCCCTTTTATGAAGAGGTAACCACATAAAAAGTGATTCCTTTCATCTTACCTCATGATCCACTTGGCTTGGCCTCCCAAAGTGCTGAGATTACTAGCCACCATGCCCGGCATTAATTCATATTTTTAAATGAGGGTCAAGAATAGGCAAAACTGAACTGAACTGTCAAAATAGTGATAGCTGTTGTGAAGGGATCAAAATAGTGATACCTGTTGTGAAGGGAAGGAAGTATTCACTGGAAAGGGGCACAAGGAAGTGTTCTGCATCTTTGATCTGGATAGTGATTACTGGATGTTTGCATATGTAAAAAATCCATTGACCTATATACTTAAAATTTATGTACCTTACATAAGCTATATATCAATGAGATAAGAAATAGTAATTTCAAAAGAGTAGCTGTCTAGAGATAATATTGCCTGAGATAGGAAAGTTCTTTATCATCTGAAGGCAGTTTAATCTGTTTCACTTTTTCAGGCTCTTATATACTGGTGTTATGCTTAGAGCACACTGGGGAAATAATTAGGCATAAAGGTACCTATTCTTCATTAGGAAAAGTAGTACCTATAACATATAACTAGTTCATTATTTCATGGTAAATAGGTAAAATTTTCACTACATCAGTTTTTAAGAATAGTTATTTCATTGACCCATAGTACCAGTGTGTTGTTGAATAAATAGGTGTTGGATTAAAATAAATTTTTCTAAAATAAATTATACACTAAGCTAAAGAAATAATAGATTGTGCCGGGCGCGGTGGCTCAAGCCTGTAATCCCAGCACTTTGGGAGGCCGAGGCGGGTGGATCACGAGGTCAAGAGATCGAGACCATCCTGGTCAAC